TGGTGATGGTGGTGATGGTGATGGTGATGGTGGTGGTGATGGTGGTGGTGATGGTGGTGATGGTGGTGATGGTGGTGATGGTGATGGTGGTGATGGTGATGATGGTGATGGTGGTGATGGTGATGGTGGTCGTGGTGGTGATGGTGGTGATGGTAGTGATAATGAAAACAAGCAATCTCATAAAGCAGCTTGCTAGCTGGGCGTGGTGGTGCATGCCTGTAATCCCAGTACTCAGGAGGCTGAGGCAGGAGGATTGCCATGAGTTCGAGGCCAGCCTGGACTACAAAGTGAATTCAAGGCCAGTCTGAACTACATAGTGAGACCCCACCTCAATATATATATATATATATAAAATAAAGTAAAGCAGGTTTCTGGCCCGCGTTGTGGTCTGCTGACACCCACGCTCTTCCCTGGTGTCAGGCAGCACCTCAGGGCCCCCAGCATGGTCCCCACAGCCTGGTCCCCCAGGGACCTGGGCCGTCTCAGCAGCGCTGAGCTGGCCCGGGGCTGCCGCAGCGGGCGGGACTTACAGGAAGAGGTTCTCCATGATGTAGTGGTAGTCAGGGGCGCTGCTGTCCGGGAGGAAGCAGGCGGCAAAGACGATGATGGCGTTGAGGCCCTCCCCGTAGTACCCTGCGGGTGTAACAGGACAGGCCCTCTCTGAGCTCCTGAACCCGGCCACCTCCTACACCCACCCCATCATGCCGGCCCTTCCCGCGGCTGCCTGTCCTGCCCCGGCCCACCCGCTTCCCCGCGCACGGCAAAGCCTTAGCAGAGGAGACCGCGGTCCGGAGACGCCTCGCCCGCCCGCACTCAGGCTGGCGCGGGGGGCGGTGCCGGTGCCTCACCTCCGTGGGTGACCACCTTCATGTACGGCCGGATCATGTGCAGGTCGATGCGGTGCTCCTGCTCCCCGATGATCACAGTCCGCCACAGCCGCCCATTGGCGGCGCCGCCGTCCTCCGCCGCGCTGTCCCCAAACAGATCTGCGCTGTCCCCAGGCATGTTCTTGGCGGTGGCCACGGGGGTGTCATCTGGAAGCCGGCCGGGGCAGGCAGAAGGGACACCTGAGTCTGGACATTTGTCCTATCCTCCCGCCCACTCTTTCTCCCAAGCCTCCCATAACTGCCACCAGCTGGGGAGCCTTTGCTCCTGCCCGCCGGGGGCTCTGCTTGGCCCCTTCCTCTCCTGATCTCTATGCAAGGCTTGGTTCGAACACCGCCACCTCCAGGAAGCCCCCGGGACTGCGCCCTCAGGCCGCAGGGGGTTCCCTACTTCCTGGGCTTTTGCTCTGCTCCATCCTGGCCATTCTCTGAGAGGTCGCCTTCTGGGTTCACCTTCTCCCAACGGGGTGAGCAAGGGGAGCTAAGGGCCCCGGAAGAGGGGCCGTGTCCCTTCTGTGTCGGAGTCCGCTTGTCTCCCGACATTTTGCCCTCTCTCTCCCAGGCCTCCGACAGAGGCTCTTTTCCCATATTTTGCTGACTGACCACATTGGGTGGGTTGTGCGAGAAGAAGTGGGGCTGAGCGGGGTGTGGTGGCGCATGCTTGTAATCCCAGCACTCGGGAGGCTGAGGCAGGATGCCGCTCTTGGAGCCTGACCCAGGCCTCTGCCCTTGGCCCCGGGGAAACTGAGGCCAGGCTCTCCGTGGGGTGTCCTGGGCACAGCAGGGTGCTGAGCCGCATCTCTGGCCTCCGCTCGCTCCAGGCCAGGAGCTGCCCTCCGTGTGACGCCACACGTGTCCCAGACATGGCCCAGCATCCCGGGGGCGGGGTGAGACCCCAGTCTCTCCCACCGCTTCTTACTCTCCTGTAACCCCGAGGACCAAGGCCCTCTGTGGGCAGACTCCACCATCCAGCGCGGCCTGCTGGCTCCCTCTGTGCACAGGCAGGGACAGGGTACATGTCAGTCATTTCGCCCCCGCATGCCCAGTGCCACAGTCAGACCTGGCCAGGGCCTGCGTGCTGCACTGACCAGCTGTGGCCCGGGGGCCCCAGTCACTTTTGAGCACCTGCAGGAAGCTCATGGTCCCCACAGCGCTCACAAGAGTACAAGAAAAAAGTGCATTCCGCTGGCGCGGTGGCGCACACCTGTAATCCCTGCCCTCAGGAGGCAGAGGCAGGAGGATGGCTGAGAGTTTGAGGCCAGCCTGGGTGACATAATGAGATTTTGTCTCAACGCCCCCGCCAAAAAAAAAAGAAAACAAAAAAACAGTCACGCAATTGCAGGGCGATAGACATTCCCAGAGGAGCTCTGTGCCCCGCGTTAGACCCTTGTCCCCGCCCCCCTGCTCTGTCACCGGACGTGGGCAGGGAGCCCAGAGCCCCTCAACCTTACCTTCCCACTCCAGGTCGTTCCCGTTTCCCAGGAACTCCAGCGAGTCGGTCTCATCGGGGGTTTCGATGTCGTCCACGTTGATGTCCAGGTCATCGGGGGTGTCCAGGAAGTCATCGGACAGCAGGGAGCCTTCGCTCTGGTCCAGGGAGATGTTGATCTCGGGGGCCACCAGCGTCTTCCTTTTCCGATGAGCTCCCCCGAAGTTCAGCGTGCTGGGCAGGGCTGCGGGGCCGGGACAGCACAGTGCGGGTGGTCTGCGTCCCTCCCGCTCCATCCCCGTGAGGGGGGTAGAATCCAGGGCTTGAGTTACCCAAGCTGGCTTCAAACGTGTGATCCTCCCGCCTCAGCCTCCTAAATGCTGGGATGACAGGCACCCACTACCACGCCTCATGTGTCCCCTTTTAAAGGCATTTTCTCTCCCCTTAGGGTTAAAGCCAGTCCGAGAACAAGCTGAGCAGAGCTGGCCCCTTGAAGTGAGTCTGGGAGAAAAGACTCCCTCTTTCCCCAAAGCAATGTCTAATACAGAGGGAGAATTCTGGGGGGACCCTGGGTCTCAACCTCAGCTTCATTCTGTGGCCCTGGAGGGTGTAGTTAGCGGCCCCCTATTCCTCGGTGATTGACAACTCTTTATCAGGCACTAACTGTGCTGGCTCCTGTCTTTCCCCCTTGAACATCTTGGTCCCTCAGCTCAGAGCTGAGCTTTACAGGGAATCATCGTGCGCCTTGGCAGAAAACGGTACAAACATTTTCCCCAGAGCCTGGGAGCTGGGTGTGGAGGCGCACGCCTGTCATCCCAGCTACTCCAGAGGCTGAGGCAGGAGGTTTTCCAGGTTGAGTCTCTTGGTTCCCCCCATTTTCCTCGTGGGCAGTGGGTCTGGAAGGTAAATGTAATGAGTTTGTTAAAAACTTCGCTCTCCCCGTTGGGATCAAACTAAAGGCCACAGTGTGGTGACAGGTGCGGGTGTGTGGACGTGACACTGGTCACCAGCAGGGACAGGGAGGAAGGCGGTGACAGCACCACGTGGGCCTCAGGACAGAGATTTGAGCCAAAGAGGATTATTCCCAAGCTTTGAGAGTGAGTGGAATTTGTCCTTAATTAAAAAAAAAAAAAAAAAGACAAAAACATCAATGAAATTTGCCCTAAATAAAAAGAAGCAGGGTGCAGGGGTGGAAGGCTGCACACCTGTCACCCCAGCACTCAGGGGAGGCTGAGGCAGGAGGATCACAGTGAGTTCCAGGCCAGCCTGGGTTGCATAGTGAGTTCAAGGTCAGCCTGAACTACAGAGCAAGACCCTGTCTCAAAACAAGCAAGCAAACAAATCCATCGCTCAATCAGGTTTGTTGCAGATGGACTTAGGGTGGGTCCTAGGCTATCCATTGTGACTGCTGTCCTCACTGAAGGGGACATTAAGACACAGACAAACACATGAGGAGAAGGAGCTGTGACCACCAGGGCAGAGATGGGGTGACCCCTCCCCAGCCCAGTCTCGCGGGGTTGCCAGCCACTGGCAGAGCTGGGGCCGGGTGGGGACAGAGTCTCCTCACCACCTGAGGAAGCCAGCCCTGCCCATATCTTGACCTCGGACTCGCTGTTCTGCATGCAGCAGGAATCAACATCTATTTATTTATTTATTTAGTCTTTTTTGAGATAGGATTTTGTTATGCACTTCAGGCTGGCCTTGAACTCACAGAGATCCTCCTGCTTCAGCCTCCCGAGTGCTGGGATTACAGGCATGCACCACCATGCCCAGCTCAACATCTACTTCTGAAGCCGCCCTGTCTGTGGGATTTAATGGTGGCCTGGGAGAGCCACACAGACCGAGGTGCCAGGGCCATCAGTTGTTGGTTTTTGCTTTCGTTTTTGTTGTACTGGGATTGAATCCAGGGTCTTCACACCAAATTACTCCCCAGTCCATTTTATTTTATTTTATTTTATTTTATTTATTTTTCTATTTTGAGACAGGGTCTTGCTGAGTCACAAAGTTGCCCAGGTTTGACTCAAATTTGTGATCCTCCTGCCTCAGCCTCCCAGAGTGCTGGAGTGACAGGCGTGCACCATCATGCCTGGCCGGAACACCTGGTTCGAGGGGCCAGAAGTTGATCCCCACCCCGTGCTGGCTTTGCCCCCGTCCTGCCTGCCTCCCCTTTCCCCAAAAACTGTCCTAGGTTGGCTGCTCTCGGGGTTGGAGGCCAAGGGCAATTCCACCGTAGGGCTCTGGGTGGAGAGGGTGCTTCCTTTCGGTTCCTGTGGCCCGGGATTCCTGGAGTTTGGGACAAGGACCTGGGGACCTGGTCCAGGCTGCTTGATAGAAGGGCGGGGAGGCCGGGTTTACCCTTGGGGTCTGCTCTGCAGAGCGTGAAGCCATTGCCTGGGCCCTCAGCTTGCGGCCCCTTCCTCCAGCTGCAGAGCCGACGGCAGCACAGCATCTCGGCCCCTCTCAGCCTTTCACCCTCCCGAGCCCGCTCAGGGGACCCTGGGGGACCCTGGGCCTGGAGGAGCCAGGAGCCAGGATAATCTCCTGTATTAGAGTCCTCTGGAGAAACAGGGCCGATAGCGCTTGTGTGGAAAGAGAGAGATTTTTAAGAACGGTCCCGTGGGGCTACAGGGGGTGGCAACTCCTCGGGCAGCTCAGGCAGGGACACCTAGGCAGGACCTGGCGCTCTGAGCTCAGCCAAAGCCACGTACCGGCAGCATTTTGTCTTGCTCGGCGGATCTAAGTCTTTTTCTGTTTAACCCTTCAACTAATTAGATGAGGCCCACCCTCCTAAAGGAGGGCCATCGGCTTCACTGAAAGTCCACTAATTTATATCTAATTTCATCTAAAAATGCCTTCTTAGAAACATCAGGAATAGTGTTTGACCTAATATGCAGGTGGACACGTAACATTATCCACCAGTCTTCCTTCCATCTCTAAGCTTCTTTCTTGTACTCTCTCTCCTTCCTTCCTTCCTTCCTTCCTTCCTTCCTTCCTTCCTTCCTTCCTTCCTTCCTTCCTTCCTTCTTCTGTCTCTTTCTGTCCCTGTGTGGGGGATAGAACCAGCTCCTTGTGCATGCTGGGCAGGCGCTTGCCACTGAGCCAGACCTCAGCCCTTTTGACTTTATTTTGAGACAGGGTCTCGCTAAGTTGCCCGGACTGGGCTGGAACTCACAGGCGGCTGGGTGACAGGTGTGCGCCATCACGGCTGGCTCTATCTTCAGGTTTCCTAACAGGGCTGGGGCGTGCGGCTCAGTGGTGAGCTCTTTCCTAGCAGGTGCAAAGGCCCTGGGTTCCACCCCCTGCACCAACAACTAAAACCAACTGAACCCCATTCCCCGATCTTTCCTGCCCGGAAGGGAAGCTTGGCTGGTTTCCAGGATGACAAGGTGAACAGATTTGGGGCTGATTCGGGCAGCTGCACGCAGGAAGCAGGCACTGTTACTGGTGCCTCAACCCCCAGGGTCCCCTGGTCTGAGCCCCCTCCTGGGAGCACAGCTCAGGGCAGAGTCCACACAGCAGGGTCCCCACATAGCTCGGCCTCTTTGGAGCCTGGCTCCAGGGTAACCAACTGTCCCAACTATGCCCAGTATTTTTTATTTAAAGGTCCACAACATAACTTTAATTTGGTCACTTTTAACAATACTGTATTAATTCTTTCAGTTATACAATGCTTTTCAATTTAAACTCTGTCCTCAACAAGGTGGTTGTGACATTTAAAAGCATCGAATCACACTGAAGTTGCCCCACGGCTGCCCCGTGGGCTGAGCAGGGTGCAGGGAAGGTGCGGGATGGCAGACGTGGCTGAAACTGCTGTGTGACCTCAAGTCATGCGCATGCCTTTCTGGTTGGCCTCTCCCCCGTGGTTGGGCCCAGTACTGGACCACGCGGGGGCAGAGCAGATGCAGGTGAGGAGACCCATGTGGGGCAGGGCCTCCCAAGCCCCATCCCCAGGTCTGAGCACAAACTTACAGGATGCATCTTCCCCAGGGCTCCCCAGCAGCTCCATCCCCGTCTCCTCCGGGAGCGGCCTGGGACCCCGACAAGCAGACATCGAAATCCAGGTGGAGGATGGGACACAGCCAGGCAGCAGACAAAACAAGAAAAGCGACAAAACAGATTCAGATCCTGGGACTCCCTGGGCTCACACACAGCTCCCCAGCACAGGAGATTCACAAACCATCAGCGCTAGAGGACTGCTTTCTAATTATCAAATTAACATGACGCTTTTCAGGATTGTTTTATTGGAACCCAGGATCTTTACAGTGAGCGACATCCCCTCCTTTCATTTTTATTTTGAGACAGGGTTTCACTAAGTTGCCCAGGCTGGGCTTGAACTTGAGATCCTCCTGCCTCAGCCTCCCAGAGTGCTGGGATCACAGGCCTATACCACTATGCCTGGCTTAGAGGGGTTCTCAGACAGGGCAAGTTGGGACCCTGACAGAACAAAGACTTTGTCTCCCACTGTCCCCTGGCTTTGTCACCTTTGAAATATAAGTCAAATTCTCCATAGGGTGACCCAGCAGATGCGGTCACTGGTGAGCTGCTGGCTATCAGTGTAGCAGGCGCTGAGTCAAAAGGACATGGGAAGCTGGGTATGGTGGCCACACCTGTCGCCCAGCACTCTGGGAGGCTGACGCAGGAGGATTGCAAGTTCCACAGCCTGGACAATTTAGTGAGACCTTGTTTCAAAATACAATAAAAAGGGCTGAGGATGTTGTTCAGTGGCGAGCACCTGCCCAGGATGTATAAGGCTTGTGTTGCATTCCCGATGCTGCCAACAGATAAATAAAAATGAACAACAAAAAAACCAAACCAGTGCAAGAGCATATGAATACACCACAGACTTCGGTTACCAATACTGTAATCTGTCGATGTTCATTGCCAGCTGGTACAGGCGGACCGCTAATTTAAAATGTCCAAGGCAGAAGAAACTAATAGCTGACTTTAGGAACTCTTCCTACTGCCTTGTAACTTTTCTGTTTTGGTTTTTTTCCCGTACCAGGGATTGAACTCACAACCTTGCACTTGCCGGGCAAGCACTGTGCCACTGAGCTAAATCCCCAGCCCCCTGCCTTGTAACTCTTCTATAGAAAAGTTGTTTAGAGACTGCTCTAAACAATAGAGGTCATCTTAAGAAATGTGCCCAACAATGTTTTTGCATTCTTTTAAAGGGTAAAAAAAAAGGGCAGAGTGGCACACTACTGTAAACCCAGCACTCAAGAGGCTGAGGCAGGAGGGTCACCATGAGTTCGAGGTCACTCTAGGCTACATAATGAGTTTAAGGCCAGCCTGAACTATATAGCAAGACCTAGTCTCCAAAAAAAGAAAAATAAATTTAAAAAGTAGCCATGATAGATGGCATATAACTGTCATCTCAATGATTTGGGAGGTTGAGGCAGAAGGATCTCAAACTGATGCCCGCCCTGGGCCACTTAGTGAGAACTTTTCCCAAGAATTAAAAATACAGCTGGCCGTGGTAGCGTATGTCTGTAATCCCAGCACTCAGGACGCTAAAGCAGGAGGATCTCTGTGAGTTGGAGGCCAGCCTGGGCTACAAAGTGAGTTCAAATCCAGCCTGAACTGCATAGTGAAACCCTGTCACAAAAAGACCAAAAAAAGTTTTTTTTTCCTCAAAAAGAATTTTAAAATACACAGGGCTGGGAATGCAGCTCTGGATTTAATCCCCAGTACTATTTTTTTTTACATTTTAAAAATTATTTATTTATTTTTTCTTTTTGAGACAGGGTCTCACTATGCAGCTCAGGCTGGTCTTGAACTCACTTTGTAGCCCAGGCTGGCTTTGAACTAGCAGTGATCCTCCTGCCTCAGCCTCCCGAGTGCTGGGATTACAGGCATGCGCCACCACGACCAGCACTATTTTTTTTTTTAAATAAACTGCAGGCTGATACCTGCTGGACCCAACCCAGTTTTGTCTTATCCACTCAGCATTTTTTTAATGTGAAAATTTATTATTCATGTTTTTCATCATCAAAATTTATTATCTTGATCTTTCCTTCTTGCCTTTGTAGAGAGCCAGGAAAGAGACAGGGGCTGCTGCAACACCCTTAACCTGGACTCCAGGTGTGGCACCGACGCCATGAGCTCCACCAGACCCAGCAACCAGAACGTCACTGTTGCCCTCAGTAAACTCAGACCCCATCACTGGGGACAAAAGCTGTGATTTTCTTGCCATGCCTGATCAGCTGGACCCCACAGTTCCTGAATATGGCTGTTTGTTTTTGGCTCCAACCCCTGCTTTGCCCAGCACGGTTCCCTTTGTGGTGGGGGGGGCACCCCAAAAGTGCAGGCCTTTGGGCTGTGGCCCAGTGGGCCTTTTCGTGTTGCCGACCGTGTCCCTCCTGGTCTTGCCGGGCACCGCGGGGCTTCCTGGCCGTACAGAGACCGCGACCCTTGCCTGTCCTGCTGGCGCGTGGGCCGATGACAGTCCACAGAGCATTGCAAGGAAAGCATCCAAAGACCTGCACAAAAGTCTAGATTTCCACGTCGTCACAAATTCGGACCTTTCCCTCCAAACTGGCCTCCCCCGGCGGGCACAGGTCTCGCAGCTAACGGGGAGTGCGAACTTCCTTCCAGGTCCTGCTCATTTACACTGCCTTCCTGGCCAACACCCACCACCGTCTAAGTCCACACGGCCCTTGTGGAATCTTTTAGATCCTATTCTACACCACCGCTACACCACCAGCCTGCTGGCCAGCGCGTGCCAGGCCCCACCATAGCACGTTGGCGGCTTAATCTTTTTCTTTGTTTTCTGGAGATGGGGCCTCATACTCGTGGCCATCCTCCTGCCTCAGCCTCCCCAGTGCTGGGATGACAGCTGCGCCTGGGTTTGTGGGTATTTTTATGTATTGTGTGGGCTAAAGCATAGTCCCCCGTTATTCGATCAGGTGCTAGACTAGGCGTTGCTGTGAAGGAATTTTGTAAATGAGGTCAGCGTCTATACCCCACTACCTTTAAGTGAAGGAAGTTTTCGCCGAGAATGTGGGGGTCACAAGCTTCACAGACTCCTCAGCTGAAGGCGAAGGGCAAACAGTGAAGGGATTTTGTCCCCAAACCTCAGAGTCTGCTCTTACCAGAGCCCTGGTGGCTGGTCCACAGCACCGCACACCCAGGCTTTGGTGTGAGTCACGTATACGAAGAAGACCATAAGCAAACAAATGAACGAAGCAGATGCCTGCCAGCCGTGGTGGCCTGCACCTGTTATCCCTGTGCTCTGGAAGGCTGAGGCAGGAGGATTGTGAGTTTGAGCCCAGCCTAAGCAACTTCGTGATTTAGCAAGATCTCGTCTTAAAATAAAAAATGTAAAGGGCTGGGGGTGTAGCTGGGCTGGAAGAACAGACGGGCATTGTCTGGAACCCACAGAGGAGCCCTGTGTGGCCGCAGTGAGGCCCTGCCTCAAGGAGTCATGTTCATTTCTTCCCAAGACGGGAAAGACAGAGGCCTTGTGGGTGCAGCACCCAGCTGGCAGCGGCTCAGGGCACGAGGTGCACAGGAGCCCACTGTCCTGCCAGGGGACACTGCAGCTGGGGCGCTCATTAAAAAGACACCCTGGGCTCCTGCTCAGCTGGCCCCGTCCCTACTTACAGCAGCATTCAGCCTCCGTTCCGTCCCCAGAAGACTTGGGAGGGGAGACAGCTTTTATTTTATTATTTTTTTGGAGGGAGGATACCAGGAATTGAAGTCAGGACCTCGCGCTTGCCAGGCAGGCGCTGCGCTGCTGAGCTATATCCCAGCCCCTAGGTTTTATTTTTTGTTTAATTTTTTAAGCCACTAGGGTTGAACCTATGACCTTTGCCCTGAGCTTTGCGTGTGTGGGGGTTCCATGTGGTAGGAAGAGGGGCATAGACAAAATAACCATGCAAAATGCTCAGCATAGGTTACGGTTCAGTTTTCCCCCCAGATATGTAGGCATTGGAAGCTTGGTCCTTGGTGTGCCAACAGGGAGTTGCTGGGACCTTTAAGAGGCGGAGCCTATAGGGAGGTCTTTAGGTCATTGTGGACCTGGCCTCAGAAGACACTAAGGAAGTTCTCAGGGGACTCTGATTGGTTGTTAGAAACTTGTTAAAGAGCTCAGCTGCCCAGCCTCTGAGGCTTCCTGTTTTCAAGGTGATTTCCTCCTCCTCACACACATCTTTGCTTTCGCTCTCAGCTATGAGGTGCTCCAGTCAATGAGGCCCTCAGCACAATCTCCCTCTTCCTCTTTCCACTTCCAGCTTGCATAACCTCTTTTCTTTATCAAGTGAGCTGCCTCTGACACATTATCATAGTGACAGAAGGGACTCACACAGCACAGCTTCTGTGACAGATCACCACCCACCCAGTCCCTGAACACCTCCCATGTTTCACCTTTACAATTCCAGAGGCTGGAAGCAAGCCCAAAGTCAGCCTCACTGGGCTGTGGTCCAGATGTGGGTGAGCAGCTGGTCCCTCCCAAAGCCTGGGGAGAATCCAAGACCCACCAGTCCCAGCTCCTAGAGGTGCCAATAGCCCTCAGCTCACAGCTCCTAGCTTTCCTCTCTCCAATCTGTTTTTTTAAATTTTATTTTTGTTTTTGTAATACTGGGATCCAAGCCCAGGGCTGTCACACTCAGTGATATCCCCAGCCCTTTTATACATTTTTATTTTGAATCAAGGTCTCACTAAGTTGCTGAATTGCCCAGGTTGTGCTGGAACTTGTGATCCTCCTGCCTCAGCCTCCCAAGAAGCTGAGGTGACAGGTGTGCACCACCGCCCCTGGCACTCCAGGAGGCTCTTGAGGGCAGCAGCAGCACCTCCCACACACCACCGCCAGAGGCGCTGGGCCATGTGAGGCTCGGGCCCCGCAGATCCTACCTGGGAAGATCCTCATCCTGCCATTCCTCCCGCACATCCACGTTTTCCATCCGAAGTGTGGCCTCGGTGGTCCCCATGGGAGCCAGGAGGAGGGGCTGGCTGAAGCAGGAAGAGCCCTGAATTGGGAGGAGCAGGTTTCACTAGACAAGAATTGCGATAACCACCCGTCCCTCCATCTGCAGCACTCGGGAGGGGGATCTGTGGAGAGTTCGTGTGCCTGTCATCTTACTGAGTCTGTGCTGGGCCCCACGACATGTCCTCATTTCTCTTTTCTTTTTTTGGTCTTTTTGAGACAGAGTCTAGCTATGCAGTTCAGGCTGGACTTGAGCTGACTTTGTGGCCCAGGCTGGTCTTGAACTTGCAATGATCTTCCTGCCTCAGCCTCCCGAGTGCTGGGATTACAGGCGTGGGTCACCAGGCCATTTGACATGTCCTTATTTCACAGGTGAGGGAATAGGCAGAGAGAGCTGAGGACTTCCGGGTGGGTACTGAGTTTGAATTCAGTTTAGGATTCAAGCTTCCTGCTATAATCTCCTCTTCACTGGGACCTCTGAAATCCACTCTCCCCCAGAACAAGCCATGATCAAAACAGATTCACTTTCCCTTAGTTTGGACCTTACCCAAGAAACAATGAATTAAATAACAGCAGCAGTAATTTACACTAAAGTGTGAATGACTGGTGTGGTTCATTTCCCCTACTCTCTCCCCAACACTTTCAAAGAGTACCTGGCCCACTCCAACTGTCCTCCACCCGCACCAGGCCATCTTCCCTGCACCTCTGTGCTTCCACACAAGCCCTGACAACCTGCAGACACCAGGGCTAAGAAGACGGTGCGGAAAGAGCCTGGGCTTGCCCATCAGATCAAAATCATTGGCAACCACAAAATGCAGGCTTGGTTTTTATTGTTCTGAGCCTCCGACTGGGGCAGGCTCTGGGTATTGGCCTCAGCACTCGGCTGTCTCGTGGCAGAATCAGAGCAGCCGAAGGAGACTTGAGGAATGACAGACTCCCGAATGTGTCACCTTTCTGTGCCTCAGTTTCCCTGTCTGTAGATGAAAGAGTTGAATGGGAGATGACCTCTCTGATACCTTCCAGGCGTCAAATTCCAGGATGTTGGGCCTCAGCCAACCCCCCTTGTGGAGTTTCATGCACTTAAGCCACCAGTTCACAACTGGGGACTATTTCCCACCTCCCCACACCCCAGGGACACTCATTAATGTCTATAGGGACTTCGAGGTTGTGTTCTGGAGCAGAGGGCAGGAAAGCTGCTCAACTTTCTGTAAAGCCCAGGATGGACCACACAGCCAAGAATGGCCCGGCCCCAAGGCTAGGGAAACCTGCTAGGAAAGGAAATAGAGTCAGGCTGTGACGCATGCCTATCATCCCAGTATGCGGGAGGCTAAGGCAGGAGGATTGAGAGTTCAAGCCCAGCCTGGACTACATAGCAAGACCCTGTCTCAGAAAACAAAAACAAGGGCCCAGGATGTAGCTCAGTAGCGCAGTGCCTACCTAGCAAGCGCAAGTCCCTGAGTTCAATTCATGGTACCAAAAGAAAAAAAAAAAAAAGAGGAAAAAAAAACAAAGGAAAAGAAAGGAAATACCCCTTCTGCGTTTGCCTTCACTCTGTCACTAGCTCCTCCCACCAGCCAGCAGCTGATCTGTGACCCACCCCAAGCTCCAGCAGCAGCTCTACCGGCTGCCCGGTTGGGTGTGTCCCTCCAAGCCCCCAGAGGTGGCAGGCCCTGTCTTTGGGATGGTGGCCCAGTGCAGGAGGACCCAAAGGGAACCTGTGCCCAGCAAGAGCCTGAGGGAAGCTGAGGACCAGGGGACACCAGAAATCAGACTGGCCCTGGTTTCCCTCCAGATCTCTCTCTCCTCTGTCTTCAATGTCGTCATTCATTCATGGAGGAGGGACAATGACACGCAGTATGGCCAAAAAAAAAAAAAAAAAATCCCTTCCGGATGCTCCAGGCAACAACAACCGCCCAGCCATCTCTGGCAGGGCAAGTTCTTGTAGCAGAAGACCTGTTTCCTAGCTGGAGCAGGGGTCCTGAGTCTTTTCCTCATCCCGAGCTGGGTGTGACCTGACTGGGGGTGCAGGGGGACCCACCAAAGAGAGGCTGGGGCCACATCCTGTAACGTTGAGGCGTGGTCCCCAGCACAGCCCACACACCCCTGCATTTAGATATTTGCTTCCTGTTAGGCGACAGCTAAGACAACGACATCAAAGGGCAGCCAAGCTGTGCTCATTACAGCCACAGTGCTGAATTACTAGCGCACCACACAGAAATCCAGAAAAATAAACCAGGCGTGGTGGCACACGCCTGTCATCCCGGCACTCTGGGAGGCTGAGGCAGGAGGATTGCCGAAAAAGAGGAGGAATCTATTCTTTAATGGGCTCCCTTCTTCCCTGCTCCATGAAGCAAGCCTTCATCGACACATTTATAATTTGTGTGTGTGTGTGTGCGTGCGTGCGCGCAAACCCGCAGCTGGCAGAGTCCCTCTGGATGTTATAAATAGGGAGTGAGCAGGCTTTCATCGCCTGAGCTCTGAGGGCATCCTGCACCGAGGCAAATCGCAGCCTCAAGCCAAGCATCCTTGGTCACAAGACCCTTAGTCCCCGGCTCCCAGGCACCCCACGCCTGCACCCTGCCACGCTCCCGGCAAACGCCCCTTCCCCCGGGTCAGGGACGAGGAGAAGCCCTCACCTTTGCGTCACTGGGAGACAAAGGCGCGCATCCCTCTCGGTCCCCGGGCCACGGCCGCGCAGGACGCTCGCGGGGGCATCCGAGCAAGGTCACCCGGCCCCGCGCCCAGGCACGCGGGCTGCCTGCTGCAGGCCTGGTGGGGAGGATGGATCCGGTTAGCAGGGGGCTCCAGGTGCCCCAGAAGTCTCCCTGCCCCTTGTCATCGCTGCCCGGGCGGTCTCTGGCTCACAGCTGGCAGAAGCTCGGCGGCCCTAAGAGAGTTCAGGGTGCTGCCTTTGTGAGCAGCGGGTGGGGAGCGGGCGGGGGCGGGAGGATGGGAAGCCCCGCCCCTGCCAGCATCCGCTGCTCACCATTGGCTGAGCGGGAAGCCTCTCAGACAGCCACGCGGGGCGGGGGATGGGGGCAGGCGCAGAAGTGGTTTTCTGATGGCGCATCGTGAATGTAAAGCCAAACAGAGGACAGATAAATAAATATATGCCAGAGGTCCTTAGAGGGTGGAGGTAATGGGGTGGCACCTTTTCTTTTTAAAAAAGGGCAAGGGGCAAGGTGTAGTGGCGCTCACCTGTAATCACAGCACTTGAGAAGCTGAGGCAGGAGGATCATCGCGGGTTTGAGGCCAGCTTGGGCTACATAGTGAGTTCAGTTCCGGCCTGGACTACGTAAAGAGACGCTGTCTCAAAAATAGACAAGTGAAAAAAAAGGTTCAGATCTTCGTCCGGAGCCACCCACCAAGCAGGGGACCCTTGGAGGAGCGATCTTGCCAGCAGGATTGTTCATTTGTGAAATGGCTACGCGATGCCACAGCCCTTTTGGGATGCCCCAAGCTGCTGCTCAGAGGCCACCGAGCGTGGGGAAGGCTCTGTGAACCTTTCTAGCATTGTTTTGTTTTATGTTGAGACCCTGCCACGGCCTGAATGGCACCTCGCCCCCAAAGACATAGCTTTAGCTCAGCCCTGGAACCTGTACATTTGACCCGATTTGGAAGAAGGATTTTTGCAAAGGGGATCCCGGGCTAAGGATCAGGGAAGAGATCATCCTGGATTAGGGTGGGTTCTCAACCTAAGGTGAGCCCCTCCTCCCCAAGAGGATTCTCCTTTAGACTCCAGAAGGAGCCAGTCCTCCGACACCTCGATTTCAGGTTCTGGTCTTGCAGAGATGATCAATAACTACGTGCCTGCTTTTTTGTTGTTGTTGTTTTTTTTAACCGGTATCGGGAATCGAACTCACGACCTCGCACTTGCCAGGCAGGCACTGTGCGGCTGAGCTAAATCCCCAGCCCCCGTGCCTGCCGTTTTAAGTCTCCTTTTGTGGCTCTTTGTTACTTTGTCAGGAAGCAAGTACTTGATCCCAAGTAAGAACAGTCTGTGCCGAGCCCTTACGAAGATTTCTTGGCGTGGAGCAGGGGGGTAGACAGTGTGAGCTGGGTTCTGAGGCGAGAGCAGGAGTTTGATGGATGAAGCAGAGGGAGAAGGCGGTCAGGGCGGAGCGCGCGACTCCACAGTCAGCTCTTCCCTCGGCAGCCCTGGGAGCTGTCCCTGGTCCTGACCGTCGTGCGGCTCAAGCTCGGCTCCCTGGCTTTCTGTTCTGCTCTGCTTTTAATTGAGTTAACATAAAATAGGCTTTTTAACCATTTCCAAACGCACAGTTCAGAGGCATTGAGCGCATCCCATGGAAGTGCAGCCGTCCGTACCGTCACCTCCAGAACTTTCCCTCTCCACAAGCTGACCCTCCATCCCCTCCCCAGCCCCGACACCACCGTCCTCCTTCTCTGTGGATCTGACCACGCTAGGGCCTCCTGAGAGTGAACCCTGCCGTGAGTTTCTCTGCAGGCTTGCTTCACGTACCTCATTGTCTCCCAGAGGCAGACACTGTGTTGTAGCGCATGTCTGAATCACCTTCCTTTTCATGGCTGGGTAATATTCCACTGTGTATATAAGGCCGTTGGTTGTGAGTTCAATGTCAGAGAACCAATAACGTGTGTTAAAAAATGAGTGTCTAAACCGGGTGTGGTGGTGCATGACTGTAATCCCAGCACTCAGGAGGCTGAGGCAGGAG